ATGCTTAAAACTGGTTAAAATGGTGAATTTTATGTATATTGAACCACAATTTTAAAAATACAGTTGACGCTTGAACAATGTGAAGATTAGAGGTGCCAACCCTCATACAGTTGAAAATCTCTTAAGTTTTGGCTTCCCTAAAACTCGACTACTGATAGCCTCCTGTTGACCAGAAGCCTTGCCAATAACTTAATGTCAGTAACACATATTCTGTATGGTTTTGTATTACATACCATATTAAAGTAAGCTAGAGAAAATATTAGGAAAATAATAACAAAAAGAAAATGTTGATTAAATGGAAGTGGATCATCATACAGGCCTTCATCTTCACTGTTTTCACATTGAGCAGGCTGAGGAAGAAGGGGGGGGGGGTTGGTTTTGCTGTCTCTGGGGTGGAAGAGGTGGAGGAGGTGGGAGAGGAGGCAGGAAAGGCCAGGCATACTTGGTGTAACTTTACAGAAGTACATCATAATTTTTGTCTGACTTTTGCTTTTTTACTTTTCTGAAAAATGTTTTTGTAGGTTACCAATCCTCTGTCCACCTTGTGCTTTAGTTTCAGTGCCCATATTACAGAAATCAAAATTAGCCTTTAATAATTGCAACCCTTCTGCCAGACTGTCTAATGTCAGATTGTCTTCTGGCACTGCTTCTTCTATGTTGTCTTCCTCATCATCTGGCACTGGTTCCGTCATCTCTTGTCTGTTAATTCCTCTGGTGTCTGTTAGCTGTTGAATTTCTCAAAGATCCATATCTTGAAACTCTTTGCCCCTCCCCCACCACATCTTTTTTTGTCATATCCACAGTTTCTTTCATGATATCTGATTGTCTCGCTCATAAATCCTATGAAGTCATACACAACATCTGGACACAGTTTTCTCCAGGAATGTGTTTCAGACTTGATGGCTTTCACAGCTTTTTCTGTAACAACAGTAGCATAATCAGTGGTATAATTCTTCCAGAATTTCATGATATTCTATCAGGGGTCTCTTCCACAGCATTGATAGTCATTTCCACAGAGTACTGTGTATAATGAGCTATAAAGATCCTTATGACCCTGATACAGAGGATGAAATAGAGACATTGTGTCGGGGAATGTAGACCACCTCAGTACCTTTGGTGTTAAACTTGTGGTTCTGTGTGGCCAGGAGCTTTGTCCAATATCAAAAGAACTTTAAAAGGCAGTCCCTTATTGGCAAGGTACTTCCTGACTTTGGGAACAACACATTGATGGAACCAATCCAGAAAAAGCATTCTCATTGTCTATACCTTCTTGTTGTACAACCAAAAGACTGGCTGCTGGTTTTTGTTTTCCCTTTGAGGCTCAGGGATTAGCAGCTTTATGGCTAAGGGCAGCAAACCTTACTGCATTTGCACAAAACAGTAGAGTTTACCTATCTCTTCCTGCCTTAAATCCTGGTGCTTGCTTCTCTTCCTTACTCATAAATGTCCTTTGTGGCATTTTCTTCCAGAATAGGGCACATATATCAGCATTAAAAACCTGTCCAGGCAGATATCCTTTAACCCCAACGACTTTCTTAGTGGCATCTAGGAACTCATCTGCCTCAAAGCTGTTTCTCCTGTTACCTTGACATTTTTAAAACCAAACGTCTTTCTGAAACTCAAACCATCCTTCGCTAGCACTAAATTCTTCAGCTTAAGATCTTTGACTTTCCTTTACTTTAAAGTAGTCTTATAATGACTTTACTTTTTCTTAAATCGTATTAGAGTCTATAGGTATGCCTTTTTTATAACAATCCTGCACCTACATAAAAGCTGCATTTTTAATATGAAGTAAGGTGTTTCACAAAAAGTGCAAGGTTTTTGTTCCTGCTTGTGTAGCTGCAGCATAGCTACATGAACGCCCCCTGCCTTTTTTTTTTTTTTTTTTTTAAAGTGATCACACTGGATTCATTTATCTTGAGATGGCAACCATGGCTATAGACCTCAATCTACAGGACGTACGAAGCAATTTAACTTTTTCTTGTAATGTCATAACCTTTCTCAGCTTTTTGGAAGCACTTTTCAGCATCACCAGTGGCACTTCATATGGATCTCATAGTTTTATTCATGGTTTACACTATTGCATTAAACACAACAAAAAATAGACAAGAGATCACTTTTTACTGCAATATGCAATTTACTGAAGAAACAGCTAACACTGAGATGATTAGCATCACAGAGTATTTTAAGCAGATACTCAAGCTTACCACAATAACAGGTGACTCCAAAATTATTGTAGTAGTATTGTATGAACTATAATTTTAGTCAATTATTTAATACTGCATATTATGTTTGTTTCTCTACTGCAAATAGCACTATGTACAGTCTGTAAGTTTTGATAAATTTTAACTCATAATTTGTATATATTTTATGAGAGCACATTGTAAAATAGACTAGAATCTACATATATATATCTTACACACTAGTGACATGTTTTTCTTAATTTTTTAGCTATTTCTAGGCTATGCAGTTCATCTGTGAGTTTTTTCAAACTTACAAATTTCAAATTTTTCAGTATATTTAAAAAATTCATATATAAGTATGCCTATGTAGTTCAAACCCATGTTGTTCAAGAGTCAAATGTAGCTGGACCCGGAGGCTCAGGCATATTTCCAGCACTTTGGGAGCCTGAGGCGGGCAGATCATTTGAGGTCAGGAGTTCAAGACCAGGCTGACCAACATGGTGAAGCCTCATCTCTACTAAAAATACCAAAAAAAATTAGCTCAACATGGTGGCACACACCTGTAATCCCAGCTACCCGGGAGGCTGAGGCAAGAGAACCGTTTGAACCCAGGAGGCGGTGGTTACAGTGAGCTGAGATCATGCTGCTGCATTTCAGCCTGGACGACAGAGTGAGACTCCAAAGGTTAAGTGTAATAAGTGAGAATATTGTTGTTGTGAAATTTTTTTAAAATATGTGAATATTTATATTTATGTCAAGTTTAGCACTCTTGGCTTAGTTGAAAATATATGGACTTTGCACAAAAAAGAAAAAAGGATTGGAAATGAAATATCCCAGGTGATTTCTTCTTGAATTTGGAATAATCACTTAATGTTTAGAATAATTATTTGATGTCTACATTGACTGTTCAGGGACAAAGAAAAATATATGGTATTGAATAGTTATTTATTTTATTTATTTATTTTCTTTTGAGACGGAGTTTTGCTCTTGTTGCCCAGGCTTGAGTGCAATGGCGAGACCTCTGCTTTACTGCAACTTCCGCCTCCCTGGTTCAAGCGATTCTCTTGCCTCAGCCTCCCCAGTAGCTGGGACAAGAAGCATGCACCACCACGCCCAGCTAATTTTGTATTTTTGGTAGAGATGGGGTTTCTCCATGTTGGTCAGGCTGGTCTCAAACTCCCAACCTCAGATGATCCGCCTACCTCAACCTCCCAAAGTGCTGGGATTACAGGTGTAAGCCACCTCACCCATCCTATTTTATAATTTTGTGTCTTAAAATTTAAATGATTTAAAATTCTTTCTGAAAAGAGATTGTGTATCTGGTATACTGCTAACTAGTGTAATAACTGGGATAGTGCCTGAGGCATAGTAAGTATTCAATAAAATATTTGTTAAATAATTTACAGGCACCTTTTATATTTGAAGAAAATTATGTTTAAGTTTTTATCTGGAAAATGTATGCGGTGAGGGAGAGCCTGAAGGACAATTCCTTAATTGAATTGATAAATACAAATATATGTTATGTATTTCTCAAGTGAATGCAAACAGATTTATTTTGATTACATGTTAAAAATTGTGCAGGCCAGGCACGGTGGCTCTCGCCTGTAATTCTAGGACTTTGGGAGGCCAAGGCAGAAGGATTGCTTGAGGCCAGGAGTTTGAGATCATCCCAGGCAACATACCAAGACCCTGTCTCTATAATAAAATAAAAATGTAAAGTGCCGTGTATGGTGGCATGCACTTGTAGTCCCAGCTACGTGGGAGACTTCAGTGGATGGATTACTTCAGCCCAGGAGGTCAAGGTTGCAGTAAGCTACGATCATGACACTGTACTCCAGCCTGGGCAAGAGTACCCAGAGATGAGAAATAAATCCTGTAGATCTTGGTCTTCCTGTTCCCTGCCAGTCTGGTCCATTTACCAGGTAAGGAAGTATACTCCTAAAGTTCCCACTTACTCAGATGTAGAAATGAAATTTTTTTTCTCTAAAAGATAACAGATATTGCTGTATCTCTTAAAAAAAAAACAAAAAAACAAAAAATGTTGTGCAGAAACTTGAGACAATAAGGAGTAGAGTTATATGTGAAATCCAGGTTGCTTAGATAGGAGATTAGCTACAGATAGTTTTTATTAATGGGAAAAATATTCAGAAAAAATTAATATGAAATGTGACTCTGTGCTTTTATAAGTAATTAGATATTAGAATGGAGGGGCAAATTTTAATGCTTTGGTTGTATACATCACTTTACTATTCTGTAATAGATGTAATTTTAAGTATAGCCATTTTAATGATGAGAAAATGGGGCAAAAAGATTGTCTAGGCTTGAGTGGTGGCACCATTAGAGTGGTGGCAATTTTCTGACACTTTTAGAGAAAAGGAATTTAATTTCTACAGCTGAGTAAGTGGAAACTTTAGGAGTATTCTTTCTTACCTGGTAAATGGACCAGATCAAGAGCTATAGGATTTGTTTTATTTCTCATCGCAGGATGCCAAATTAACTCATCATCCCAAGGATTCATGTTTTAGAATTACTTACTGTATCAAATGATCTCCAACTCTAAGAGACTTTCTAATGTGGAGATCAGTGATGAAACTAAAATATTTAGATTATTAATAACAAATTACCTAAGGGAGAATTGGATTGTTTGGAGCTTTTTTTATTAACTATATTTAGAATTAAAATGTCTTAATTAGAAATTTAATAAAATTATTTAGAATTAAAATATTTTTCTTTAAAAGTATATTTGCATTTTGCTAGCTTAAGTTTATTGAAACTGAGCTCTTGTATGTCATTTCATATTTTTCCCTTGATGTGAAGTCTTACCTACTTGATGAAGATGTCTTTTGAAAGGTGTACTGCAGGGGACAAAATGTTTGTAAATTCTGCTTTTACCAAGGTAAAGATCAAATTTTATAAATTTGCTTTTTGGTTTATACTAAGAAAAATAACTTAATATATTGAATATATTCAAAAGTTTAAACATTTAATTGTATTGCCCTGATAAGTTGTCATAGCAAATACATGCTTTTCTTTTCTGCGTTTTATTCTTTGTTTCCTAACCTATAGCCCTGTGCTGGGCACAGAACAGACTTCATTTAAGTTTTTGATGTAGAAATATTTTATTATTCTACTTTAAATCTTCTTAAAAATAACTGATAATGCATATTACATCGTTATAATATTTAGACAGATTTTTTTGTATGCATTTTTTTTCTGAAAAAAATATTTTTTACATTCTTTAGGTGCCAATGTCTCTTAAAAAAAAAAAAAAAAACCTTGGAGTAAAGTAGCAGCACATAATGGTTTGTGGATTTTGAAAAGGTGCAGGCCATATTGTGCTGCCTCAAAAATACAAGGATCTGATCTTCTGAAAAAAATATATTTCTTCTTATTCATAGCTCTTATGATAGCAATGTCAGCAGTGCCTTAGCAGCACGTAAATATTGGCGTTAAGATTCTAAAATTATCTCCAGTATTAACTGTGCTGCTGAAGTAAGGTTGACCATACTCTACAATTATATTTTAATGTATATTAATGTTACTAATGTGTCTTTAGTTTTACTGATGTCTTTTCAGTATTACTGATAATCTTGTTATTTTTAGTATGCTTCTGTAAAAATAAGTTAATACTAATTTATCAGATGTATTGTGTCTCTTAAAATAGTATAATTGCAATTTAATAATAATTGTATTGAATGCCATCAAGAGTTTCTTGAAAGAGCTTATGCAGCATTAGAGGAATTTATTTTAATGCGCATTTACATTCCACATAGACATTAATTCAGAATTTTACTTGGGATAAAACAAATTCAAATTTTCCCTTAGTTTTGAAATTACTTTTAAAATATGCCATTGTGTCACAGATAAATTATAAAATATATTAAGCATTTTGAACAGAGCTTAGAAGACTATATTTAGTACTGTTTCCGAATATTTCTTTATATGTGAAGGGGAAAAGCCATCAAAATAAGGGAATTAAATACCTGAAATTCTGGTTCTCAAAACACACTTAACCATAACTTTAAAGGTAGGAAAACCCTTGTAGGTAACCAACCCACTCACTGGATAGCTGAGGAAACATAAAACTCAAGTAATTTGCTACACATATAAGATTAGTGTCTTCGTCCTCTGTCTTCTTTTCTGTTTGTTCGTTTTTTGAGGCAGAATCTTGCTCTCTCACCAGGCTGTAGTGGCGCGATCTCAGCTCACTGCAACCTTCTCCTACCAGGTTCAAGCAATTCTCCTGCCTCAAGTAGCTGGGATGACAAGTGCCCCCCACCATGCCCAGCTAAATTTTAGTAGAGACACCTGGCCTAATTTAATTCAAATCTGAGCAGAAAGCCGGGCGAGGTGGCTCACGCCTGTTGTAATCCCAGCACTTTGGGAGACCAGGGTGAGTTGATCACTGGAGGTCAGGAATTCGAGACTATCCTGACCAACATGAAGCCCCGTCTCTACTAGAAATAAAAAAATTAGCCAGATGTGGTGGCAGGTGCCTATAATCCCGGATACTCGGGAAGCTGAGGCAGGAGAATCACTTGAACCGGAGAGGTGGAGGTTGCAGTGAGCCGAGATTGGGTCTCGGCTTTCCAGTCTGGGTGACAGAGCAAGCCTTCATCTCAACAACAGAAAAAAAAAAAAATCTCAACAAAAATGCTTATTTACCTTCTTTTCCTTATCTGTGGTGTTTTAAAGTCATTAAATTTAAAAATGATGTTCAGGATGAGTATGTTTGTGTAGTGTACCATAACTCTGGTGTTATTTTCTACAAAGAGTGTCTTAGAGTTTTCAATTGTAACCATGCAGAAACCCTACAAAATAAAAACAGTTGTTAATTAATCCTTTCCAATCATACTAAAGTATTTTAGATGTAATTTAAGAAATTGTATTCGAGGCTGGGAGTGGCCACTTACGCCTGTAATCTTAGCACTTTGGGAGGCCAAGGCGGGTGGATCATCTGAGATCAGGAGTTTGAGACCAGCCTGGCCAACATGACAAAACCCTTTCTCTACTAAAAATGCAAAAATTAGCTGGGTGAGGCAGCGGGTGCCTGCAATCCCAGCTACATGGGTTGTTGAGGCAGCAGAATCTCTTGAACCTGGGAGGCAGAGGTTGCAGTGAGCGAAGATCGTGCCACTGCACTCAGCCTGGTGACAGAGTGAGACTGTCTCAAAACAAAACATTGTATTTGAAAGCTAAAGGACCTTTTTGTTTAAATTCTAATTTAAAGATAAAATATTATATAAAACAAAGCTGTCATTTTTAAAAACAGTCACTTTTTACCCAGCAACGCTTGGTTCCCAATATACCATATATAGTGGATAGAACTAAATGCCAGCATTTACATGGAAATACTGCGTTGGTGCTTTTAAAAATATTTATCAAGCTCTTAACTTGTTTTCTTTATTTCATTTCAATCCTTACATGAAAGATTGCACCAAATATATAACTTTTGGTTCCACTAAAAATATTCCAGGACCTAACACAGATGCTTAGAATATTTATTGAATGAATTACAAAGTTTACCGAATACTGTCCAACACTTTTCAGAACAACCCAGGAGTTAGGTGTTTTTGTTTCTTCTTTTCATTTTCTTTCTTTCTTTCTTTCTTTCTTTTTTTCTAAATGTAGCTGAAGTCAGGTTTTAGAAAATTATATTCAATCTGTCTTCTAAATGACAAGAAAAATTTCCCTTTTCCATTTACCAGATAGTTGTTTATATCATTAAGTACTCTAGATGTGAAGAAGGATTATTTGGAGCTTTTATAGATAAATGAAAACTTTTCTTGTTTTTAATCCTGACAGTGGATTAAAGAAAAATTGAAATATTTGAGAAGTAAGAGAATATAGGAAAAATCCTGCATTAAAACTTATTGAAATTTTATTTAGTTTCAGTCTCTTCCAGAGAAGAGGAGGTGGCCTGTCGATATCTAATGAAACAACATTTAGGAAACTCTCAACAGGACTGGATGTTTTATTTATAGAGTTGTAATTTTGAAACACATAAGGAGTCAGTACTAAAATGAAAGTTTGTACCTTTCAGTGTTAGCCTTATTTTGGCTTCTTGTTTTGCAAAAAAAACATACATAGTTATATATGGGTATAAAGTTTTCATTTTTTCTTATTTGAAAAAAATACTAATCTTTTTCATTTAGGTTTCTTTTTAAATTGATGCCAAAGAATTTCAGTATTGAACATCTTAAGTCTGTTACTTGGAGTATGGATTGAGTTTGGAGCTTACTCAGAGGACTGCAGGAGAGTGTCCAGGAGGTAGCAAGAAATGTATTTCAGTCCTTCTATTTGCGTCTTATATTCAAGGACAAATCTCTCCAGATGGCACGGATTAATATGTGATAATAGATTTGAAAACTTGACCTAGCCATAGACTAAATTCCATATTTAATATTAAAGATTTTCTTCAGTTATGTATCTTCTTGATTAATTCAGAGTTATAGGTGTTTTTTAAGCCACTAAGTGTTATTACTGATACATGCACCAGTTAGCCCTACTAAGATTAGCAAGATTATACTTTCATAAACTATTCTTTCTCTAAATTAATATATATTTAGAAGTTGACATTCTAAATCAAACTGTATTTTTTTCCTTTTGCAGGTGGATAATTACTGTACCTTCCTCATGGAAAAAGTTTTATTTTAAGTGTTATTTCTCATTGAATACTATCAAAAAGGAAAAAAATGACCTAAACTTTTGAGATAGATTTGGCTCTAGTAAGTATTTAGATATATCACTTGCATATCTGGGAGAAGAAATAAGAGGCTATCATCAATACATTCCTATCTACTAAAAAATTTTGTTTTACATATGTCAAAGGATTACTTATAACTTCCATTTTATTACTAATAACTTGAACACTTTTATTGAAAAACTAACTCCTCCACTGGAAATTTAGCTTTATGTTCTTATCTGCTTTGCATATAAAATACATTGCAGGTATTTCTGATGCCTTTCTTTTTTTTAAGCCTATATGCAATGAAAAATATATTGGCAAAATAAATGTTTAAATGTTTTATGGTAAAATTACTGTGAAACATGACAAGTTAGCTGCTGTTTTTGTTTACATTATACTGAAATTAAATGTTCATAATTTATATTTGGGTTTATTTTTATAATATCAGGGAATTTATGCAAAAACATTGAGTAGTACAGATTCTTCTCTAATTCTGTGAGACTTTGAATAACGTGATATTGTAATTGGACCCCTGTGTTTTGAAGAAATGCCAACTGCTTGAAGAATCTTACTTGTATTATTTGCTACAGGGTTAGATGTTGAGAAATGCTGCTGAAAAAAAATTTTAAGCTAGTTCTACACTAAATATTCCTCGGTGTGATTAATTTCTTATTGAATATATTCTGTGTCTTTCTTTTGTAATCTGTAACTTTTATCCACTTAGCATGAATGATTCTATTAAAGAAAATCTTTAGGAAGTGGTAGCAGCTTGAAATCGCCCCATAGCTTGCCTGTTTCTACATTTTATTATAATCTTTGGGAGTGCTTACACTTATAGAGCTAACATTTTCAGAGATACAGGTTCTCATAGTACCACTAAAACTTTTTTCCTCCTTGAACTGAATTCCTATGATAATAACTATAGGGTAGTTTTTTTAAGTTTCCATGCGAATAGTCAAAAATGCCATTTTAGTATGAAGCAATGAAGTCTAGTATTTGTTGTACCATAGTTGAGAAAGCTTAAATACATCTTTTATTAAGAGTTCATAAATTCTAGCGGAGTCTACACAGATTTTTATGCCAATTTGTTTATATTTTTATTAATGTCATTTCTAGAAGTGTGAAAATGTTAATGTTTGACAAGCAACATTAAAAATAGATTTGAAACACATATATAGAGAGATACACATTTATTTACTGTTTAGGTGCTGAAGATTGTTACTAAATAAAAAAGATATATCCCAGCCCCCATGGAGCTTACTAATCTTGTGGGTAGAGGAGTGAGTGATGGAATGGACAAAAAAACTGATAGTTACTATATTTGGTATGTCAGAGAGTGTAAGTTTTGTGGCAAAAATAAAGCAGGGAAAGTGGCAATTATGTGATAAAGGTGTCTGGAAGGCAGTAGAGAGATATTTTTAAATATTATGGGTAGGAAATACTCTACAGAGATGGCATTTGAACAAACACCTAGAAACAATAAGGGAGCAAACCACGTAGGTACCTGAGCCGATGAAATAACAAATACAAAGACCCTGAGGCTGAAGCATTTTTTGTACATGGAATAGCAAGAAAGCACATGTGGCTGTGATCAAATGTAAAGAGGAATAGTAGTTAATGGGATCAGAGAGTTGGTAGAGGCCATATCTTATAGCTGTCTAAGCTTTTACCTTGATCTACAGATTCCATTTTTCTTTTCTCTTTTTTTTTTTTTTTTTTGTTTGAGTCAGTCTCACTCACTTGCCCAGGCTGGAGTGCAATGACGCGATCTCAGCTCACTGCAACCTCCACCTCCCCAGTTCAAGCAGTTTTCTTGCTTCAGCCTCCTGAATAACTGGGATTACAGGCACCTGCCACCACGCCTGGCTAATTTTTGTATTTTTAGTAGAGATGGGGTTTCACCATATTGGCCAGGCTAGTCTCAAACTCCTGACCTTGTGATCCACCCACCTCAGTCTCCTAAAGTGCTGGGATTACAGGTGTGAGCCACCCTGCCCAGCACAGCTTTTCATACTTCTTTAGGACACTCTTGACAGGCGTATGTGCCTCAGCCTATTTGACTTCTGCAGATAGGACAATATTTTTATGAGTCTGATTCGACATTAGAGCCTCCGTCAGACTATTTAGAATACAAAAGAATGTTTAAATGGATAGTGAATAGGTATGTGTGTGTGATGAGGACTTTGTGAATTGTGCATTGAAATGGTTTTGAAATGGTTTTCTGCGTGATCAGTTTAGGTGGAGCCAAAACTAATAACTCCAAGAGACACACTGAATTTGCTCATGTTTATCATATACCCAAATGAACCACAATTGTCTTTGATTCCTTCATCCTTGAAATTTCTACTATAAGTACTTCACTGTTTTTCACTTATTTCTATTTAGCGGCATTTTAACTAGTTCTTTGCCTCTAGCTGTTTTGAACTAACAATTTCATTTTCTATATAGTATATATTACTTTTTTAATCTTCCCAAAGCACTGTTTTTTTCCTAGAGTGTAACATTTAAATTGCTTACTTTGATACCTTGTGATTTTGTCCCAACATTTTCTATGTTGATTTTTTTTCAGATGAACTAACTAGTCCTAATCCATTAGTTTTTCTTTCTCTTTGCCTTTATGCCATTTCTTCACTACAGTTCTCCCCCAACTAATGCCTGTATATTTTTGTTAATGAGGCAAAATTTCTCATGTGTACTGTTTATTGACCTTAACAGTCTGACATTAACCATCCTTCCCATGGCATGAACATATTATACCTGTAGTTCTTAACCTTTTTCTCTACCTTCACACACCTGAGGTACATAACACTTCTTTCATTGTTTCTCATTTACTCATGTGGGTTAACCTTTTAAATGTATTAGCAATATGAAAAAAAATTTTCTAATTTAAGAAGCTTCTGAATAGTAGCCTAAACATCAGGTCCCAAGGTTCAGATATTAATTTTATGCTGACATGTTATACAGTTGACTTTTTAAATTCTTCAAATAGTTATGTATCAACCAGTTACAATATATCCTTAAGATTTATTAACATTAAAAGAATAATTATTTCAGTTTTCCAATATTGTAAAAGCAATTAACAAATACACTTTTTAAAGAAGTAATCTATGTCTTTGTGATGGTATTGTTTATTAAGCATTCAATAATAAAGGGCTGATTAAATAACATGTTTAGTAGGATACTGTGCAGCTATTTAAAATAGCAATTGAATAATGAGCTAAAAAGTTGTTTAAGTAAAAGATTATCAAATAGTTTGAATAGATTCACTAGAATAATAACATACTAAATTGTTTTACTGGTCTACTCTGGGTAAGAGATAAATCTTATTGGGGTGGGAGGGATCTTCTTGATTATAAATAAGCATGTATGATTTTTGTGATGGGCAGAGTTTGTTTTTTGAAAAGGAGAGAGAAATCCTTGAAAAATAAAAGTATTTATTTGAAGCAACCTTACCTCCACATAATGATTTACTTTGGAAATCTATAAAAGGGAATCCTGTGTTCGGGAACTTTAGACAAGATAATGAAGAATTAACTGTCATGGAAGAAAAATTTCAAAATCAGATAAGTTTAAAATCATCTTCAGAGGAACAGCTTGCTCTAAATTCTCAAAGCAATATTGAAAAGGAATTCAAGAATTCCTTCTTGAGTTCATGGTTGAGAGATTTCACTGTCATTTCCCCACTCTTCAAGCCCTTAAAACCTCAAACACAGGTAAGTGTAAGAAAGGGGATTTTTAAATCTCTTTTAATTTGAAACTATATTAGTAAAGAAATACAAATCTGGTTTATTTTATAAAGATTTGATAATGCAATGAAAGTTGCACATCTAAAAATTAAGGATTTTTCTGTTAAGTTTGATTTTCCTTAGCATAAAAGTACTATGTAAACAGAAACCTCAGGAAGAGCAAAAAAAAAAAATTTTTTATTTAAAAATCGTATTTTCATCATCCAAAGGCAGTTGTTACTAGCCTTATATTCCCTTCTAGTTGCATATTTGGATTAGTGAATTTATTTCTTAATCCAGTTCATTACTGTGCCAGGGACTAGAAAGATTATATTTACCTCTAGAGAAGAGATTAAGTGCTATGTTCTGACTCAGAAATATTTTCTTTAAATTTGAGTTTTATCCAAAACAACCCCACTAACTTTATAATCTGTTTTATAGTATTGTAATGTAAAAATGCCTAAGGTTAGAATTTAGTTTTCCTCAAGACTGAGGATATAGGAAGATGCATCTTGCTTACTCTGGCTACCTCCTGTACCATATCTGCATGTCATCCCCAAGGATACATTTTCATAGTGAAAAAAGCAATTTGAGGCAAGGGAGGTCATGAAGTATTCTGAGCAGGAGAGTAAGAAAAATAACTTCTAAGATACATGTACTGGTCAGAATTTGCTTAAAAATGGAAATCTGGCCAGTCGTGGTGGCTCATGCCTGTAATCCCAGCACTTTGGCAGGCCAAAGCTGGCAGATCACCTGAGCTCAGGAGTTCCAGACCAGCCTGGGCAGCATGGCAAGACACCATCTCTATTAAAAATACAAAAATTATCTGGAGTGGTGGCATATGCCTGTAGTCTCAGCTACTTGGTGGGGCTGAGGCAGGAGAATTGCTTAAACCTGGGATGCAGAGATTGCAGTGAGCCAAGATGGCACCACTGCACTCCAGCCTGGGTGACAGCAAGACCCTACCTCAGGGGGGAAAAAAAAAATCTAAGACCAGCATATCAAATTAGGAGTTTGTTTCTTTTGTGTCTCAGTAATTACATTTAGCAAAAGCTAGATTGTAAAATTGTGGAATTCACATTGGATATTCAAAAATGTTTCTTACTGTTAATGACAACCAGTGGTTATGGATATTTCAGTTTAAACATATGCTAAAATGCAAACAAGACACTAATAAACTCAATAAATGTTAGGCCTGTCTAGAAAAATGAATGTTTTTCTCAGAATTTGACCCATTTAGAATATAAGCAAAAATGATATGTCTTAACTCATTATAATGTCTCACACACTAATTTTATAATTTAAAAGAGTTAATAGTAATTTTATTTAGAAAGGACAAGTTTATAGGCTGGGCTCATGTCGGTAATCCCAGCAGTTTGGGAGGCTGAGGCGAGTGGATCACAAGGTCAAGAGATCAAGACCATCCTGGCCAACATGTTGAAACTCTGTCTCTACTAAAAACACAAAAATTAGCTGGGCGTGATGGTACACACCTGAAGTCCCAGCTACTTGGGAGGCTGAGGCAGGAGAATTCCTTGAACCTGGGAGGTGGAGGTTGCAGTGAGCTGACATCATGCCACTGCACTCCAGCCTGGTGACAGAGTGAGACTCTGTCAAAAAAAAAAAAAAAAGAAAAAAGAAAAAAGATTTAGAACCTGAGAAACAGCTGTGCTAACAGAATAAAGAAACTATGTTTTGGAGGTCTGAAAGTCTGGCTGTTTAGGAGGAGGGGTGTTTGTTGCCACAACACCCCTATGGATCAGATTTGAAGTCAAACCCTCTGTTATGCCACTCTTCTTGGCATTTTAATGGGCATTGCATTCTGTGAAAAAATAAGAAAATGACTCAGAGTAAAGCTTCAGGTCCATAGTAGTTAAACTGTTGTGCCATTTTTGAATTTACGATTTTTAGTTGTGTTTGGATACCTCCAAAACCCGAGGAATGTGGAGCTTTTTTTTTTGTTGTTGTTACTTTTGTTTCAGGTCTATGGGTTTGTTTTTTTGTCTTTTTTTTTGTTTGTTTGTTCGAGACAGGGTCTTGCTCTATTGAGAGTGCAGTGGCACAATCATGGCTCAGTACAGCCTTGATCTCGCAGGCTCAAGTGATTTCCCCACCCAGCCTCCTGAGTAATTGGGACTACAGGCATGTACCATTACACCTGGCTAACTTTTAAAATTTTTTGTTAGTGACATGATCTCACCTTGTTGCCTAGGCATATCTATTCCTGTGTTCAAGTAGTCCTCCCGCCTCAGCCTCCTGAAGTACTGAGATTACAGCATGAGCCACTATAGCCTGAATTTGAAGCTTTAAGAATTGATAACTTGTTCTTTCTAGAAAGTTCTACATAGATCTAACTTCAGAAAAAAATTGTAATGATTTTAAAATACTCCCTATGTTCAGTTCATGAAGAAACCAAATCCCTTTGATGTTTCTTTATTTTCAGTAATACCACATGGTCTTGGTTTCTGTATTTTGGAGAATTTTAGTTAGAGTTTATAGGTAAGAGTTCAGCAAATTTCAAAGCTCGCATGCAAATTCTTTATTGGGTTTAAACTATTGCTATTTGCTGATAAACATTTGTTCCCCCAGACCATTGTTAATTGGCAGTCTTGGGTATGTAGCTTATGTCAGGCCACATGTAGAATATGTAGATGAATGTGAACAAACTAGAATGGATTGAGAGAATGGAAACTATTTGAGGTGTTTGAATGTCATGAGGACTGGCTAGAGGTACTGAGAGGCCTGCTGGAAAAAGAAAAAAAAAAATAACAATCTTGAGACTTGTGTATTCTTTATTGCACCAGAGGGCAAAACTGGGCACATCAGTTTCAGGGTGGCAAATATAAACTCCAAAGCAAGAGTTTTCTGCTATTGTGGATATGTACATTATAGAAATGACTGCCTTACAGGACCTTAAAATTGGTAAAATGGGAAAGACACCGTTAATCAAGATAAGGCATCTTTTGAAGTGAAGAGAATTACCATATCAGCTTGACCAAATCCTTGTCTTAAAAATATAAAGCATTGGTGCTAACACAAGACAATTTTTGACAAAAGTAAATGATAAGAAAGCTGGATTTTGTTTAAATTTTAGAATAGTTTTTACTAGAAATGAGCATAGTTTTTACAGAACTGCCAGTATTGAGACCTATAAAATAAAAATGTTGACAGGGCATGGTGGCTCACATCTGTAATCCCAGCACTTTGTGGGGCCAAGGCAGGCAGATCATTTAAGGTCAGGAGTTCAATACCAGCGTGACCAACATGGTGAAACTTTGTCTTTACTAAAAAATACAAAAAATTAGCCGGGTGTGGTGGTTTACACCGGAAATCTCAAATACTCAGGAGGCTGAAACAGGAGAATCACTTAAACCCAGGAGGTAGAGGTTGCAGTGAGAAGAGATCGCACCACTGCACTCCAGCCTGGGTGACAGAGCAAGACTTCATCTCAACTATATATAAGCGATGAAAATACTAGGGCTAGGGACATAGTTTTAAAATATCTCTAAAAGCTTTTATAAGTTAGCGTTTGTCTTTGAGAAGAATTTCTTGGAGGCAGTAGGAAACCCTGTATAGAACTGGATTATTAAGTAGTCGTTTCCCTCTTAAGACCATAAAAGTGAATAAAGGTGAAGAATCTGGATAAACAGGAAGGAATCAATTCCACGAAGATATGTAATCATACACTTTTGGGGAGAATTAATAGTGAATGGAGAATTGAAAGAGGATTTTTTGATGTTTGTCTTTTAGGATGCTTAGACACTTAATGAGACTACAAAGCCACAGGTTAGGTTTAGGCATACTGCTCTTCGAATTTTGTTCTGTAAATAGGAATTTAGCTTCAATTAGAGTTTTTTGTTTTTTTTTTTTTTAACCCTACCAGACACATAACAGGTGCTCAGTTACTGATTAAAAGAAATGTTCCCAGTAAGATCAGTCTCTGAAATTGGCAGTGGGTCTTGTTGATTCTGGCATATATGCAGAAAATATCCTTTACTATCTTTGCCAGTCTTTTGAACTTAAATCATTGTTGAGAGTTGTTTAAACAGTATCGATTGGTTTTAGTGCATCCTTTAATGCAGGCTCCTCAGTTTTCAAGTACTTTTTAGACTACCCTGGTTCTCTTCCAAATTATATATGAGATTATTGATATGAGAAAGAATTGTAAGTGAACATCAGCCCTGGCACATTTGTTAATATTTATTTGCCCCTCTGGAAAATAGGCCAGTAAATTTTTATGGTTTAAGTGATTGTTAAAAGGACCCAAACAATCAAATAAAAACATTTTAATACCTACCTGCAAGGGTTGTTGATTTTTCTAAGGTATATACTGAAAACTCAACATTTAGGTGCTGTTACTAGCAGTAGAAATAGTAACTGCTAACACATTTAGTGTTTATCCTTTGCCAGCAACTTTCACGTTTGTAAATTTATTTAGTCCTCACAGCTACCCTCTGAGAGAGGTCTGTTGTTATCCATATGTTATGGGTAAGGAAACCAAGTCACAGAAATAGCATGCCTCATAACTAGCAAGCCAAGGAGTCCAGGTTCAAGCTCAGTTGGTTTGACTTCAAAGTTTATGCTTCTAGGAATTATATCTACAGCTTCTGTCTTATAGCCAACAAGAGGAAGAGGAGACAAAACTACATAAGTACTAAACCATGAAATGCTCAAAATGATAGTGATGCCTTCCTTTTAGGTAGTACTTTTAGTTTCCAAAGTCCTTTTAGTCTGACTTTACTGTCTTGTTTAATGCTTCTTTAATGCCCAGGTCTTCACACATTGTATTGACTACTTCCATTGAAATAGACATCAGAAATAGTATGAAAGGCTTTTAAGAACTTGTTTTAGAAGCAAAAAAAAAAAAAAAAAAAGTATTAGAGACTAACTGACATTTTTATGACTTTCATTTTGTAATGTCTTAAAGATAGGTTTGTATGTGAAAATACTGTACTAAGTACAGGTTATCTTCTCATATTGTATAATGG